AGAGAGAGAGAGAGAGAGAGAGAGAGAGAGAGAGAGAGAGAGAGAGAGAGAGAGAGAGAGAGAGAGAGAGAGAGAGATTTCCTAGTCTTACCACGACTCGCATGTGCATTGAAAAGTTGACAACAGAATACAGCAGTAACCCTACCATACCAGCACAATCAGCAGCAGCCAGGGCAGCAGTAGGGCCAATAACTAATCATAGCCATATCAGCAGTAGTCTAGGAACATGTAGCAGCAGTAATACATTGGTTCAGCTATAGTAGCAATATCAGCACTAAACTAGACTAAAACACATTCTCAAGGGCAGCTAGAGCATCATCTGCAGCAGTACTACCGGGTAGGACTATGTAATCACAAAAAGACCAATCTCCAAGGTCAGAGGTGACAAAGCACCTAGAAGTTGTAACACTCTCCACTAGCCTCAGCAATAGTCTTGGGACTATTGCAGCAATTGCACCATTGGCAGTCATAGCAGCAGCAGGACAACCAGCCCTTGAAGGCATCGGAGGCATAGCAGCAGCAAGATTATAGCAGTGTCAGTAGTAAGAGCACAAGCGGCAACAGGAGCAGCAGGGCAACCAGCCCTAGAACGCATAGGAGCCATAGCAGCAGTAAGATTATGGCAGTGGCAGTTGCAAGAGCGCAAGCCGCAATAGCAGCAGCAGTAGTAGCAGAGTTCTGACCATTGGATCCCGAGCATCCACACCACCGAGAGCAGCCAGAGCAGCACAAAGCAACCAGCAAGAGAAGCACAGCAGCAGAGCCACTCTTGCTGTTGGAGGCTTGGAGCAGCCAGTGCCAGACAGAGACTAAACATGGCAGACGTCAGAAACAGTACCAGTATGAGAAACAGCAGCAGTAGCATGAGCAGCCAGCCACAATCATAACAACAACCTTGACTTGTTGTTTGAGCATTTGTACGTGTTAAGTTTCGATCTGTTGAGTGTGGTAGTCATCCACTTACCTTGATCGAATCTCCATCAGAAGCAGCAAAGACCTCATGTAGCTTGTGATTGAATGACATGGCATAGACAGGGTCCTCTTTTCCGCGTACATCGATCACTTTTGTTGGGAGCATCGCGTTTTTCTGAAAAGAGAAAAGACCGCATGCAGATACTCATTACAGTGGGCCAGTGGTGGATGCAAGTAGACAAATCAACGGAAGAGAAATGCCACATTGAAACTCACAGTAGGACTTTCTGGGCAGAATCTGGCCGTCATCTGCAGTGATATTCATGCTGGAAAGACCTAGCGCATGTCCATAGATGCAGACCAGAAGAATGTTTAGGTGAGAGCCGACAACTGAGTGCTCTGACATATACATCATCAGTGGCTGTGTCTTTTTTCGAAGGAAAAAAAATAGAAACAAAGGGGGGTAAACCCTAACCTCATTGTATCCAACAGGATTCTAACTCTGGATCTGTTTATCAACCATTATATGTGTGTAGTACTGTGTATCATTCAGCCACAAGGACCGCCAAGTCATGGGTCAGCGTTTGGGGAAGGAGAGGAGATGAAAGTGGGGGCCCACATGAAAAGTAATAAAAAGGACAGAAGCAGGAGTTATGTAAAGGGACATGTGGAGGTGGACAACGAGAGAGGGACAGAGGTAGCGGAAAGGGATTGAGAGGGGGCAGAGAGAGAGGAGGAGACAGGCGGAATGGAGGAACTCGAACATAGATGGGGGAAAAGCAAAGAAAAAGCGAGAGGAAGTTCATCAGTGAGCAAAGGGAAGTAAATCATAAGTGAGGGGGGCAGAAAATGAGAGCCTCACACACAGAAAGTGCCCATCTTTTCATTTCTTTGAATTTTTTGAATTTTTTTCTATTTTTAAATTTCCCCCCCCTTTTGCAAGGAATATGAGTGTGACCGATATACATAAAACCAAGTTGCGAAATCACACAGCTGAGCAAGTAGTAGTTGCGAAATCACACAGCTGTAGAGAGTACAAATGCACCGAGAAAACCATCCATAAAGAGCAATACAATGAAGTATTGAGCCAATGCCCAAGCCCGTAGGCCACACCAACACAGTATCCWGAGTCGCTCTCTCTGTCTGGCGTACAGCGCCCAGCCTACTCTACCATACTATCCTACTCTACAGCTGGTTCACACAACAGGATCACTTCGGCTCACGAAGACCAATGTACATGACTGTCCACACCATCGGCGACCTCTCTTCATGTACCAGGTACGTATCTCGTCACCCTCAATCAGACCTTGATTACCCYACACAKCGCCTCACTCCCTGAAGACCACCCGATCATCCGCTGTACCCCCTGGCGCCTAGCAGCCCGGCTATGGCCGCCTGCGCCCAGCTGCCCTGCAGCTCCCCACCTCACCTCTCGCGCCCCGTCAGCGCCCTTGGCAGCAGCGCAGCATCAAGCGAGAGCGCAGCAGCACTTCCGCATTGCCAGCGCTGGCCAGAATGCCTGGCCTCGGTTGCCTCACTTCCTCTATGGAAGTGGCAGCCTGCTGCATGCTGCGTGTGGCCTGGCTTGAAGCTTCCAGTAGCTTCCGGTTGGGCCTCAGACCCTGTGCCCAGGCCGAGGCTTACAGTTGAGGGCCTGGGCCCTTTACAGTTGGGCGCGGCCTGGGTCTGGGCTGTTAGCTGCATCTGTGCAGGGCCCCTAGGTAGGTGCGTCGGCTGTACTGCTTTTCAATGTATCGGCCCTGCTTCGTGTGTAGGTGCCCAGGCACAACTTTCGTGGCCTGGGCCAACTGTACGGCGCAGCTTAGTGAGGCTCGCGCGTTCACTCAACCAACTGACGCGCTCCAAGAGCCTGAATACCCACATATGGAAATGTCGAATTTGGCCTGTGACGAATATTCAGGCCCGCCTTCACTTAGGGCGGGCACTTGGCTTGCTGGGGTCTTGGCCCAGAACAATGTGATGTCTGATAGGGCCCCTTGAGGGCTTGTTCCTCACATTCCATCCCCCTTGGCTTCGAAAGTCCGCTAAGATGCTTCATGCTGGTGCCTTCCCCTTCAGTCTTTTCTCATACTCGGCCACGATCTGAGGAGCTGTCTTGACAAGTTCCTCCCTTGAAATCCATCGATCTTCCCGGATCTGTATGATGCCTGAAATGTACTCTGTATTCCCTCGCAGGTTTGGGAGGTCTTCCCCTGCCAGGTGGCTTAGGAACAGGCGTATCTTTGTGATCCAGGATGTCGTCGACGTCCACTTGGCCATCCATGGTTGGGGGCAGCATAGATCTCTGTGATGGGAACTGTGCTGTCTCAGCAAAAGGTGCAAGCTTGGAGGCGTGAAACACAGGGTAAGTGCGTAAGTGACCAGGGATACGAATGACGTACGAAGGACCATCCATATCATTCCCGACAATGTCCAGGACTTCCCAGGGACCGAAATACTGCGGCATTAGTTTTCTAGATATGCCAAACTCCTGTCCCAACTCACTAGCCTTGACCCAGACGCGTTCCCCTACCTGAAATGTGGACTATCGGCGACGCTTGTTCTCAGAAGCAATCATGACTTCCTGAGATTTCTTGATATGCTCGACAGTCTGCTGCAGCAGTTTCTCATACTGGACACCAAATTCAATGGTTCCAGGCGTTGCAGCAGTTCGGTTCTCAGGCAGGAGGAAGTCTAGAGCAGATCTAAGCTTCCATCCCAGATGTAGTTGATTAGAACTGACACCGATGGTGCTGTGTACAGCGTTGTTGTACAGACTGGCGATGAGAGGCAACTTCTCATCCCAGTCATCCTGACTGGGCTTGATGTAATGCCTCAGCAGATGCTGCACCACTCGGTTCATCTGTTCAGCCTGCCCATTTGCTTCAGGATGATTCCCAGAAGTCATCTGAAGCTGGCTGCCCATCTGTTCAGCGGCCTGTTTCCACATCTCATAGTGAAACGGACATCTCTATCACTAACGATAGTCTTAGGCAATCCAAAATCACGCACCCAGTTGTCCATGAACAACTTGATGACGTACTCAGTCCTGGCAGTCTCTGGCATGGCGATTAGTCTAGCGTACTTAGTGAACCTATCCACTATGACGAAAATGTGCCTCTTGCCATTCTTGCTGGTCACAAGAGTTTCCATGAAGTCCATGGAGATACTCTGACCCGGACCAGCAGGAATGGGTAAAGGCTTGAGTAACCTAAGCGGAGCTTGAGTCCGTGGCTTGTCCCGCTGACAGACCTGACAGGTCTCCACATACTTCTTCACATCGTCAAGCATGTTAGGCCACCAGAATTGTTGTACTAAATTAACACTAGTCTTCTTATAACCGAAGTGTCCCATTGCATCGTGGCACTCACCTAGAAATAAACTATGCAAAGTTTCTCTAGATGGAACAACTAACCTCTTAAACCCTGCCTTCTCAAGAAAGAGTAACCCATCCACCATCACAAACTCATCAGTAGTGGCCTTGTCCTTAGCCTGAAGTTTGTTGATGATGTCCATCGTGATGGGATCTTCCTTGTAGGCTTCATCCAACGATCGAGTTACATCCTCAGATAGACCAAACTCATAAATCAGCGCACCTAGGTAATTTGCCCTCCTAGACAACGTGTCTGCAACCTTGTTCTACTCTCCCTTCAAATGGTCTACTTTGAAATCATATTGATCTATGACTTCAATCCAGCGTTTGAGTGCATCAGAGAGAAGTGGTTGAGTCTTGATCCACTTGAGGGTCTGATGGTTAGTTCTCAAGTTGAAGAACCTTCCTAACAGATAGTGCCTCCAGTGGACAAGTGCCTTGTAAAGAGCGTAGAGTTTCCTCTCGTAGGTGGACTTTGCCAACTTCTTTGAAGGCATCTTTTTGCTCATGTACTCGATCGGTCTCAACTTCTTCCCTTCCTGCTGAGCCAGCACTGCGCCAATCCCATATTGGCTTGCGTCAGTGGTCACAACGAATGGCCTTTGCGGGTCGGGTACCATGAGAACCTCATGATGCGTGAGAGCATGCCTCAAACGCTTGAAAGTTGCCTCACACTCGTCGGTCCAGTCCCACGGTGTGTCAAGTCGAGTTAGATCAGTCAAGGGAGATGCGATCGTACTATAATTCTTTACGAAATTGCGGTAATAACCACACATTCCCAAGAACGATCTGACCTCAGTCACTGACTGGGGTCGTAGCCAGTCACGTATGCTGGCCACCTTCGCATCTTCGGGCCTAATCCCATCCGCGGATACTTCATGACCCAAGTACAAGATTCGAGTGCGACCGAATTCGCATTTCTCTATGTTTATCTTATACTTGTGCTGCCGAAGGAGTGAAAGTATTGTGTCTACATGCTGAACATGCTCCTCGACAGATCTACTAAAGATAAGTATGTCGTCGAGGTACACGACAACAAACTTATCCAAGTAGTCATGGAAGATCCTATTCATGGCGTGCTGGAATGTACCCGGCGCATTACAAAGGCCAAAGGGCATCACCACAAACTCGTACAGACCGTACCTGGTCTGAAATGCGGTTTTGTGCTGGTCCTCTGGTCTAATGGCAATCTGATGGTAGCCGGATTTTAAGTCTATCTTTGTGTAGTACTTACATCCCTGCACCCTATCCAATAGGTCGTCGATGCGTGGTAGAGGCTCTGCGTTCTTAACTGTGATGGCATTGAGGCCTCTATAATCAATGCACATCCTTAGTGTTCCCCCTTTCTTTGGATCGAATAAGACAGGTGAGCCATAGGGGGAAGCGCTAGGCCGAATCCAACCCTTCTCTGTGAGCTCTTTCAGTTGCCGCCGAAGTTCGTCCAACTCGGCTGGGGCCATCCTATAGATTCTTCCCTTAGGTGTTTTACTACCGGGAATGATCTCTATGGCATGGACAATCTCCCTGTCTACGACTCTTGTAGGCTCCTCGAACAGATCTGGGTACTTGGCGACGATGGTCTCTATCTATGGGGGTGTTTTAACGGCCTCCCCTTTTGCAGAGACATAGACTAAGTACATTCCTTCCTCTGGGTTCTTTTTATAATAGTTACTAGCTAAGCGCCCGTGGTGCGGGCGGTGCGGGCAATGTCCGCAAAAAAA